AGAATAATCATTTCCTACTGTCATTTTCATAGTGGTCCCTTCTCTATCCTAACCAGTAGTGCTTTCTTGGCAAAAGATTTTAACTTTATAAGGGGTAAGGAGTTCCCTCTTCATTTTCAAGAAAGGTTATCACCTGGGGCTGGAGTGATAGCATAGCCGGTAGGGCATTTGCCTTGCACGCAGCCAACATGGCCAACACAGGTTCAATTCCCAGCATCCCATATGGTCCCCTGAGCACCACCAGGAGCAATTCCTGAGTGCAAGAACCAGGAGTAACCCCTGAGCATCGCTGGGTGTGACCCAAAAAGCAAAAAAAAAAAAAAAAGAAAGAAATAAAGAAAGGTTATTACCAATGTTTCTTAACTATTGTGTTTTGTTTCTTCAGATCCTACCCTGTTTACAAAATGTCCATCTGTATTTCCTGCTTCTGGTGAGAAAAGAAAATTAACTACTCTTGAGATAAAAGGTAAGATGTAGGCTAATATCAACTGCAGGCTAATATCAAGTGATAATATTTAAAGTCATGAGGCTAAGCTATGATGTTCAGTAGACGAGGTATATTAACTGTATTTTTTGATAATTTAACAAGGGCTTATTAAGATAGAGTCCCATAAGAATTTGAGAATCATCTGTATACAGGATGTATCTGTAGAAGAATTTGTCCATGGTTCAAACATTAGGCAAGTCATCAGACTACATAAATATTGGAATTATTTTTTTTTTGTTTCAGTGGGCAAGTGGGCATGTCCTAGGGATCAAATCCAGCACCTCATCCATGCAAAGTATGAAACACTGAAGCTTTATCAACAACCTGTGACTTTGATTCCTTTTGTATATTTATTATAAATATTGCAAATGAATTCATCTTTCTGAAAAAGCCAGTTATGGAGGAACTACAAACTTCTGCTCACCAAAGCACCAGAATACCAGATATGCTAAGTCTTTGAGATATATAATTCAAACAACATATACTCAAGGAACTTTTCAAACATTTCATAGATTGATTATTGGGTAAACAACACAATTCTTAGCAAAAGTCTAGCTTTTAAAATAATATTGTTATTCACTGGATACAAATCAGTAAAGGAACTAGTACCAAAAACAAAAACCTAGATAAGAAACAAAATTGTCAATTATCCAGTGCAGTAATTTTTTACTACTATCAAATAGCTATTATCTACCAATACAGTCAGTTACCTACTTAAGCACTGTGTAGATTTATTTTTAAAAGGAACATAGAAGCTCTCTATCAATATAGAAATTACTTCAAGGACCTGATAATACCGAGATAAGGTGCTTGCCTTGCATGTGGCAGACACAGGCTTAGTCCCTGGCACACTATATGGTCCCCTGAGCACTTACAGGAGTAATTCCTGAGTGCAGAGCCCAGAGTAACCCCTGAGTATCACTGGGTGTGCAAAAATTACTCCAAAAGAGAAATTACTCCAAGATGAGGGTGGGGGTGCAAGGGGGAAGTGCACTGTATTCTCCTTTACCTACAAATTAGGTAAACTCTGGAAGGTTACACAGGACACAGAAAACCAGTCATCGTGGTAACTGGTAGAGGACCAGGGATACTGGGCTGATGGAGGAAAGGGGATGGGAGAAACTTTTCACTATAAACTTCTTCATATTTTAAAGCAATTATCCATATTACCAATTCAAACAATTGAGGGTTGTCGGGGGTTGGGGTCAAACCTTGTGTTGTTCAGGGGTCACTTCTAGTAGTACTCAGGGAATATGTGGTTCCAGGGATCAAACCAGGTGCAGCTGTACACACAGTAAGAGCCCTAACCCCTTTACTATCTGTCCAGTCCCATCAATTCATTTCAAAATAAAAAAAATTAACTAAAACAATGTTTTTAAATTTTTAAATGTGTAGCCACACAACTGAATATTACTCAGTGATAAAAAGAAGCTATCAGATCAGGAAATGACTTAGAGGAGCTTCAAAAGCATATAGGGAAAGAAGTGACAGAAAAGTTGCAAACTACATGCCTCCAACTCTCAGACATTCTGGAAAGTAAAACCAGAGATGGTAAAAATGGTGCTTTTACCTATGAAGGTTTAGGAGGCAGGCGGAAGGATGAAGAAGCTTTTTAGAGTAATAAACCATAAACTATAGAGTTTAGTTGTCATGGTCACGGTCCTCCCATTGTTGATCGACTTGCTTGAGCAGGCCCAGTAACGTCTCCATCATGAGATTTGTTGTTACTGTGTTTAGCATATCGAGTACGTCACGGGTAGCTTGCCAGGCTCCGCCCAGCGGGCGAGGTACTCTCGGTAACTTGCTGGGCTCTCCAAGAGGGGCGGAGGAATCGAACTTGAGTCGGCCATGTTGGCTGCATGCAAGGCAAACACCCTACCGCTGTGCTATCGCTCCAGCCCATAGAGTTTAGTTAATAATGATGTATCAAAATTAGCTCACTGGATGAAACAAAGGCACTACACTAACGCCAGATGCTAATAATGGAATTCTGAGGAGGGGAGGGAGCAGAAATCTAGAAAGCCTCCTATTATGGGTAACATAATATCTGCCCAATTTTCTGTAATATTAAAACTTTTCTAAGAAAGAAAGTCCTGGGACTGGAATGGTAGTACAGCAGGTAGGACGTTTGCCTTGTACAGGGCGGACCCAGGTTTGATTACCAGTATCCCATATGATCTCCGAGCATCACCAGGAGTAATCCCTGAGTACAAAGTCAGGAGTAATTCCTGTGCATCACTGGGTATATCCCAAAATGCAAAAAAAGAAAAAGAAAGAAAGAAAGAAAGTTCTGGTGCACAAGGCTGGCTTGCACTAGGCCCCCAGTTCAATCCTCAGTACTAAAAACCTTCTTATTCACTCCAGGTATAGCCCTGGTGGACCCTTAGCACAACTGAATAGTTCTCCTCCTCCAATAAATAAATTAAATTAACTATTTGGGCAGGGGCATGGCTTAATGGTAGGGCAAATGTCTAGTATATGTGAAACCCTGGGTTATTTTTTCTACATGGCAAAAAAAAATAAACTACAGTCTGTTGATTGAAATAATTGAAATAAAGAAATGTATAAATTCATATGAATATTTGTATACACTATGTTTATATACATATATGCACACGCATACACACCCCCTTTTCAATCCTTTAAATTTCTCACGTGACTGGAGCAATAGCACAGCGGTAGGGCGTTTGCCTTGCATGCAGCCGGCCCAGCCAAGCGGGGTTTGATTCCTCCACCCCTCTCAGAGAGCCAGGCAAGCTACCCAGAGCTCATGACGTATTCAATATGCCAAACACAGTAACAAGTCTCACAATGAAGACGTTACTGGGCCCGCTTGAGCAAATTGATGAATAACGGGAGAACCGTGACCGTGACCTTCAGAGTCAAAAGAGCTCAAGTTCTGGACTAACAAATTCACTCTGGTTCTTATCCTGCCAATTTTCAGCAGTGTCGCCTCATTCACGCAAGTCCCTGCTTACGCATCAGTTTCTCCATCTGCGAAATGGAAGAAACCAAAGTATCTCCTTCAAGGAGTATTGAGAAGATTAAAGAATGTGTGTGACTCTTTCACTGTTGGTGGGAATGCCGACTGGTTCAGCCCTTTTGGAAAACAGTATGGATGATTCTCAAAAAATTAGAAATTGAGCTCCCATTTGATCCAGCAATACCACTCCTGGGAATATATCCCAGAGAGGCAAAAAAGGATAGTCGAAGTGACATCTGCAATTGTCTGTTTATTGCAGCATTCTTTACAATAGCCAGAATCTGGAAAAAACCTGAGTGCCCGAGAACAGATGACTGGTTAAAGAAACTTTGGTACATTTACACAATGGAGTACTATGTAGCTGTTAGAAAAGAGGAAGTCACAAAATTTACATACAAGTGGTACTACATGGAAAGTATCATGTTAAGTGAAATGACTCAGAAAGAAAGGGATAGACATAGAAAGATTGCATTCATCTGGGGAACATAAAGTAACAAAATAGGAAACTAACACCCAAGAATGGCCGAGATTAGTACCAGGAATTTTACTCCATGACTTGGAGGTCAACCACACATACTAGGGGAAAAGGGAGCTCAGATAAAGAGGGGAACACCAAATAAAGGTGTTGGGAGGGTCCTCCCAGGATGAGAGAAGCATGCTGAAAGTAGACTATAGACCAAACATGATTGCCACTCAATGTTTCTTTTGCAAACCACAACACCCAAAAGGAGAGAGAGAACAGAGGGGAATGCCCTGCCACAGAGACAGGGTGGGACGGGGTGGGGGTGGGGGGAGGGATACTGGGATTCGTGGAGGTGGAAAATGGGCACTGGTGGAGTGATGGGTATTTGATCACTGTATAACTGAATTGAAACCCAAGCACAAAAATGTGTAAGTCTGCAACTGTACCTCATGATGTCTATTAAAAAATTTTTTAATAAAAAAAAAGAATGTGTGTGAAGTGTTAGTGTACAGCTTGATGTGAATGACAGCTCAAAAACACCAGTGACCTGGCCGGAGAAATAGGACTGCAGCCAAGGATTTCTCCAGCATCCCATGTGGTCCCCAGCACCGCCAGAAGTACTTCCTGAGTGCAGAGCCAGAATTAACCACTAAGCATCGCCAGGTGTGGCCCAAACTCCCATTTCCCAATACACACACAGGAATAAAAAATAACTCGCTGCAATAACGGTTTTTAAAAGAAATAATAATAATAATAATAATAATAATAATAAATTGTTAATGATACTGATTCCCAGGAGGGGATTTGGCCTTTCGGGTACCAAGGTGACACAAGTACTAGTACATTCACCCCATCCAATCCCACCTCGCACAGGCTGCACTTGGCCTGAGCTCCAGCCCGCAACCTGCAGGTATTGTTGAGTCCACAGATAAGGGTTTTCTCCTACCTCGGCCTGACCCACTGGGGCCCTGGAATTCACTGTCCCTCTCGCCCCCCTACGCGGTGCCATCCCCTCCGATCCACACCCCGCGTCCTCCCCGGACCCCCGCCTGATTCGCAGCGCCTACCCAGATACTCGTAGTCCGGTAAGGCTAGGCGTTCAGGGCTCAGCATCCTTGGACCAGGCTAGCTTCCAAGCCCGAGCGCTCCTGCTTCCGGAAGCCAGGTCCCCGGCTCCCTCCGTTGCCATGGCACCCACGCGGCTGGAGCACCGGAGAGTGTCCCGCAAACAGTTTCCGACTCGCAGCGCCAGGCTGGCCACGCGGGTTCCGGGAGCAGGTGCTGCGCGGCCGTCTTGGGACTGCGCATCCTGCAGGAATGGGTTTTAGAGGACTTTGACACGGAGATGGCTTTTATTTTTACTGTCTCCGTATTTCCCCAGGAGGCGAAAGATAGTGGCAAGACCTCTATGTCCGTGGTTTCTGAATTTCATAAGCACTCCGTGCTTTACTCAGCCGTTATTCTAATAGCCCCACACCTGAATTCCCATAAACACTTAATAGCCCATTATCTATTTTTAATCTTATTATTTACGACCTTCAATTGCCACACAGCGTTTTCACGCATGTAGATCTGGGCGACTCCTTGAGGTCAGAGAATCCTTAATGCGCATCTTGTGAGCGCACAGAAGATAACGCATTAACTTAAATGAGTTCGTTAACACTCCCCCCACCCCTCAAATTCCTCGTCTTTGATTCCTTTTCCTGCTCCCAGCCCTTCTCTATGGCACACCTCTCCAAGTGTCTTTATTCCTGCCAAGGAATGTTTCACTTCTTTTGTTTTTTGGTGGGGGGGGTTGTTTGTTTGTTTGCTTGCTTTTTGGGTCACACCTGGCGATGCACAAGGGTCACTCCTGGCTCATGCACTCAGAAATTACTCCTGGCGGTGCTCAGGGGACCATATGGGATGCTGGGAATCGAACCGGGGTCCACCCACCGCGTGCAAGGCAAATGCCCTACCCGCTGTGCTATTGTTCCAGCCCGGGGATTTCATTTCTTGAGAGGAAGGTGATACATAGGTGAACAGTGCGGGGAGGTAAGGGGGGTTCTCATTAGCCTGTAAGAGGTTAGAACATTCCTTAGTTTTCAAAGCCCGGAGACAGAAGTTTTTCTCTTTTTGTCCCTCTCTCCACTCCCAGCAGCTGGTGAGAGGTCTCTAAAATAGGTCACAGTTCAAACCTAGAGAGAAAACACCTCGGCCCTCCCTTTTCCAACCAACCCCACCCCAAAGTGAGGTTTGTGGGAACGTGAAGGAAGGGAGGGAGGGAAGGAAGAGGCAGAAAGCGTCGGATCAAAGGATGGCTGGGAAAGCAGCGGTCCACCTACACTGGGAGGAAAAGGAAAGGAGAGGTTCTGCCCTTGGGTTCCGTGGGCTCTATTCTTAGCTTCCTCCAGCAGGCGCCTCAGACATGCTAAATTCTCCTCTCGCGTTCCATTGGTCTGTGTGTCTCCTCTGGAGCCTCCAGTGAGTCACACGTCGAGTTTGGCTGTGTGAAGAATGAAAAAGACAGAGCCAGAACAAGAGCCACATTTATTATCTTGAGGCAATGAATTTACGAAGCTGGCATTTGCTAGGAAATCCTGCAAATATTTTCACCTTCCTCTGTTCTTGCATCCCCTCCCCAATGCAACTGGGTGGGGGGGGGGGGGGAATATTAATGGGAATTTCAGAACTTTCATACCTCTGACTTATTGCTCTGTTATTAATGAAGTAATAGGATCGTCATTATTAAGGACTATAATTCCACTCTATTTCTAAACAACCTGAAGCTCTTTGCAAATCATTCCCCTTGTCCTCATAAAACTTTCTAAGGCACACTTCTTTATCAGTAAGTAGAGAATTTGAGAAGCATGTCAAGAAAATGACTTGTCTAGCCACATCCAGCCAATCAGGGGAGAGTTGTCCCTCCTGAGCTATCCCAGCCTCCAGGCTCGTGGTCTGACCACTAAACCACACAGCCTCCTTTTTTAAGGGCTTTTTGACTGGATTTCTTATTTATTTATTTTCCCCTTTGCTCTGGCCTGCCAGCCACTGGAAGTTCCCAGATAAAAGAAGAGAATTTTGAATGTAGGCTGAATAGTTGACATCGTCTTATTTGGGGGAGTATTATCGACTTGGAGAGGGCTGCTGGGGTCGGTGTGGTGAAGCTGGGAACCAACTCCAAGAATATAGCTTTGTTTGGGCATTAACCCATTTGTGGTTATAATAATGATAAGTTTCAGCACCAGTGGCGCCCGACTGTTAATGACTCAAAGAAAGCTAAATAAGAACAAGATGTCATCTCTGGAGCAATTCGCAGGTTTTTCCTACAGCACCAGTCCTTCCAGAAAAATCCTGAGGACCCTTATATTTAAAGTTACTCTTGCATTCTTTTTTGAGGGTGGGGGGTGGGCCACACCCAGAGGTGCTCAGGGTTTACTCCTGGCTCTGCATTCAGGGATCACTCCTGACCAGTTCAGGAGACCATATGGGCTGCCAGGGATCGAACCCAGGTCAGCCTCATGCAAGGCAAACACCCTACCCACTGTGCTATCACTCAAGCCCTCTTCCACTTTTAATGTCCTGAACAGTCTATTAAGAACAAAGACTTAGACAGGGTAGAAGGTTGTTAAGACTATGACTTCCAGAAAAATGTGGGGTTTCAAAGAACTAACAGGTTGCCTTATTGGTGGTGGAATTACTGGCTGTTTATAGTCTTTTTCTTCAGATGTTTTCATGTTTTCTAATTTTTCTAATAAGCGTGTAATATAATCTGAAGGTAAACGCAAATGAATGAATAGCTTAAAAGTTTTTAAAATATATATGGACCCAAGGGATAATTCAATGGCTGAGTGCTGGCTCTGCAGGAAGGAGAACTGGGTTTGATCCCCAGCACTGCATAGTTCCCTCATGCACTGTAAGGAACAATTCCTGAGCACTTAACGAGGAGTATACCCTGAGTACTACTGAATGTGGCTCCAAAACAAAACAAAGTGACCCAAACAAATAATAACAGCAGTAGCAGGAGACATGTACAGAAACAATCCCTAACAACACATAGTCCCCCAGGCACCGGTGAGAGTGACGCCCCCCCCAGCACTGGCCAAAACACACACAATGTGTATATATATGTACGCAGATATATTTATATATAGTAATACACATATACACATATTTGTAAACAAGAAGGGATGACTTTCTAGATGTTTGTTCCTAGTAAGGAATCAGTAATTTCAGATTTCTCCCCTACCACAGATTAGATGATGATAGATTTTGGCAGTACATCAGCTGCAGATGATATTTTGCAGTGAAATATATACAACACGCATCTTTTGTTTGTGGGCCACATCCTGTGGTGCTCAGAGGCTACTCTTGGCTGGTTGCTGGGGATGCAGTACTCCAGCAACAATTCAGTAACTATTCAGCAAGCATATCTTGGGTCCCACATGCAAAGCATGTGTTCTAGCCATTTAAGCCATCTCCTCACCCCCTCATACAACACATCTTAAGAAGAGTGGAAATACAGAGCTATAGTACAATGGGTAGGGTGCTTGCTTTGCACACAGCCAATCTGGGACTGATCCTCAACACCACATAAGGTCTCCCGAGCTCACCAGGAATGACCCCTGAGCACAGATCCAGGAGTAAGCTCTGAGCACTGCAGGCTGTACCTTCCACCCTCCAAAAAAAAAAAAAGTGGAAATACCCAAGTGCTGTTCAAAACAATATATTTCTGTAATTCTGATTAAATATCCATTTATCAAATTTTAATTCTCATTATGAAGTAGAATTCATAGGCATCTCTAGCTCTGAAGAGAACCTAAGAAGAATCCAGGAGATTTAAAAAAAAAAAAAGTCCTTCCCTGGAGAACTGGAAAGTACATTGGAACAAACTTGAATGTACTAAATAGGTTCAACTTCAGGGAAATAATAAGGGAAGGGGGAAATGCAGGCTGAATTATTGCTACAAAACAGGTTCGAGAAACTAGGACAAGGTTTTATCAGCTCATCAAGCAGAAAAGATGCTAAAGGCGAAGTAGCAACTAAGAAATGCAGGTCACGAAATTCATGCCAAGGCACTAGGCTCTTCTTAAAAGATTTATCTTCCATAACAGCAAAACAGAAACTAAGTAATGTGCCTCTGTATGGGATTAGCGTGTTTAAATTAAAAATGCTATTTGCAGAAAAGTCATTTTAGACTGCCACGGGTCAACAGATATGAGCTTCGGGAGAATTTGTAAAGAAAAAGAAATGTTCACTGACTCTCTCTCTCTCTGGCAGTTCAGAATAACTAATGCACTATACACACATGGTTAAGAGGAAATAGCTTAAATTGAACTAGAGTGCAAAGGTGATTACAGACTAGTACCATCTTGTTATTTTATATTTTCAAATACTATAGCAGGAGTTCAGAAATAGATTTCTATCAAAGATGAAACTTTTTAAAATTTAATTGACTTATTGTTTTATATATTATGGCATTTCAGGGATTTAGCTTCACACCTCTCCTGTCACCAAAGTTCTGGTCATAGCCCACCACCGAACTGACCACACAGCTCATCCTTCTCACCACCCTCCACTTTCCCCCTGATAACCACTGTCATTTTCTCTAGGAGTCCAGTTTTGTTGCGTTTTATAATTGATATCCCATATGTGAGTACACAAATCACAATCACAAATCATTCTGTTATTCGTCGATTGCCTCGAGCAGGCCCCAGTAACGTCTCCTTCATCCTAGCCCTGAGATTATATTCAAGACTCTTTAGGAGAATGAGACCCATCATTGTTACTGGTATTTGGCATATTGGGTACGCCACGGGGAGTTTGCCAGACTCTGCCGTGTGGGCAGGCTACATTCGGTAGCCTGCCAGTTTGTCAAAGTAGGAATGAGATGTCATAATAAGATGTCGTGCGGCCGCGCGGTTCCAGGAGCTGGTGAGTACACTATTCAATAGTTGTATTTTACTGTCTTAGCATAAACAACTCAAGTTCCATCCATTGTGCCCCCGCAGGTTACTTTTCTCTTTCTCTATGGCAGAGTAGCACCCACTGAGCCTACTCAACACTGCTTCTCTGTCCAGTCCCCTATACTGATGGGCGTTTAGGATGAATCCATCTTTTGGCTATTGTTGAATCATGCTGCTATGAACATAGGGATGCAAATACCCTTTCAAATCCATGTTTCCATATCCTTCAAATCAATATCTAAGAGTAGTATTACTGAATCATGTGAAAT